AACTTTCCATTGATTAATCATTTCAATATTCATTTCTTGCCTTCCCTAGGGAAGGTGGAAACTGTTCTAAATCGTTTGTCATTGGCTCAATACCTGTCTTATTATTTCTTCTGGAAAAATTTGTGTCGTTATTTAATAACCGCCTTGCCTAGCCTTGCTGAACTGCGTCTGGCTCCTGTGCTGCGATTTCTCAATGACGTACATCCACAGAATTCATCTTGTGAATAGAGCCATCTCTTTTTGTGCGTTAAGCCTACGGTCTTCCTAAAGATACATTTCTGTGGAGAACAAGCAGGTTTTGCATGTCATGAGAAACTGTTGTTCTTTGTTCCTGATCTAAGTTTGCACATGAGCGCTGTGAATTCCAGCTGAGCCTTCAAAGCCAGACGTGAGCCGGTGACTATTGGCTCTGGCTGAGGTCTGGATTTCACCGGCTGCACACCCCGCTCAGCGCCTGATGGATGAGTCTGTTCCGTATGCAAGGTGTGCCCTTGCTGTTGTTATTGCTCCAATTAGCTATGTCCCTAGGGTGCATGATGGAACCGAGGCCTGGTGCTCAGAGGGCACTGGGTCAGGCTACAGATGGTACCAGTGGTGGCTGTGGATACCTTTCAGAAAATAGATTTGCACCCTGGCCGGTGTGGCAAAGATAGGTGAGCATCATCCTGTACACCCAAAGGCTGCTGGCTCAATTCGTGGTCAGGGCATATACCCAAGTTGCGGGTTCCATCCCTGGTAGGAGGTAGCTGATAAATGTTTCTCCATCTCTCTCCTCTCTGTAAAAATCAATAACAATTCTCTAAAAAGAAAAGAAAGGAAAACAGACTTGCAGGCACAATGAGAAGCAATCTCTTGGGCTCTAGAACAGGTCCATGTCCTGCATGGGCCTTGGTTGGCTCCAGACCGCCATATCCCTCCAGGAGGAGAAGCCCGGATCCCGGTGGGAATGCGGATTTGGTTCTGGGAAAGTCCACGTGCAGACAATGATTGCTCTTCTTAGAAGATGTGTCTTCACATGTTTCCTTTCACACAGGGACTGTCGGGCAGGTTTGATCCTGTCGCAGATGCCCCTTCTGGGCGTGGGGGTGGCCAGGCCCGTGCCTGCTGTGCGTGTGTCGCGTGAGCCTGAGACTGAATTGAAAACCAAATGCATAGCACGCTTGCTCACGGGACGTTAGCCCCAAATGGGGACGTGTTCCAGGGGAAGCGCACCACATTACTGGGTTCTTTCTGAACACTCGATCTGTGCTTCCCACTTCCCAGCGGGAGAGCGGCTGGAGCCCCTCCGTGCTGTGAGCCGGCCGCCTGCAGCCGGAGGCAGTGGGACCTGGCCTGCGCCAGTGTCTCCGCTGGTTTTATGGGCATATTTCTCACACCCTGTTCGCTATTAAAAATAAAATGAGGCACACATCACATGCTCAGACTGCAAGACCCATTTCCTCCTAATAAGCTGCTCGTTTGGCTGGGCTTCCCTTACACTAACTCTCCAGTGGTGCCCATTATGGATTTCTAGTTTCGTACTTTTTTTAAAAAAAAATTATTATTCTCTGATATTTTGAAAGAAATTAAGTTAGTGAGCTTTATCCTGGGAGCCAGGAACAGATATTCTATGCAAACAGTGGAGGAAGGCTTTGTCCCCTTACTTGGGTGTGCAGGAAACAAAACTCTGAGCCAATTATGTGCCTGCCTGCCCTGTGCTGGGCTGGGACAGGGCCTGCCTGCTTACACACTGCAGATGGGCCCAACCGCGGAGTTTCGAGGCCTGGAAGGAGCATGTCCCTTCACAGCACGGTAGCGCTGGGGTGACCCCATCTTTGGTCTGCCTTACCAAATCGGGGAGCCTCAAAGTGAGGCAACTCTGGGAGTAGCCTAAGAGCTGGGTGGGGATCAGCAGGCACAAACGCCAAGGCCTTCATTTTCAGACCAAGTTCTCAACACCCGCAGCCAGGCTCCTTTGGGGTGCCCAGTGGAAGGACACAGGCTCATTAGTCGGAAAAGTCTAGAGCATGCAGGGAGAGCACAGAAATGAGGCCCCGTCCTGTCAACAGGAGGGCATCACCCTTTTCCTCTGGAACCTGAGGGATGGGAAGTGGAGATGGCGCCCGGGGAAGGGAGTGGTCCAGAGGACACGGGGAAGGGCTCTGCCTGCAGCTGACCCTCCAGCTGGCCCAGCTGGCACCCTGGCCTTTTCTGTGATCCCCAGGTAGAGGCCTTGCCATCATCTGACATTTTCTACTGTTGCATAGGACAAGCCAGCCCCGCGTAAAACCCTGCTAGAAAAGCCAGAAGGAGACCCAGCCCAACCTATGTTTTCTGATGGGGAAACTGATGGGGGCGGAGACTCACTTTGCAGGGCAGAGCCAGCCAGGCTTCCTCCTGTGCTCACTCCCCACTCAGGGACCTCATCTCCGCATCCTCCTGCTTTTGGTGTCTGGGACCTGGGCTCAGGTGAGGCCGTGGTCTCTGCCACAGTGTCCTTGAGCGCCGTGTGCCATGACCTCAAGCCGAGCAACAGCACTAAGCTCTTCCCAGGCCGCCAAGGACTTAGTAGGAAAACATATGGCCCCTTTAGGTGATATTGGGCAGGTTTTGTTGATGAGAAAGTGTAAAAGTGCAGACAAAGCCCTTGATTCAGAATTTGGAGTGGATTAAAGTTTTGTTTTTTTTTTTATATAGTCCATGGAAAAATGTACATTTGAAGAACACATTTATAGGGCATGAAAGAGAACACAGCTTCCTGTTCTTCTCTGAAACATTTTAACCATGTCCACGGGTCTACAGAAAGGAGGGCTTAGGGATCCTGGTGGCTGACCAACTCATTTTACACATGAGCAAACTGAGGCCTCAGGCTCTGGCTGCAAACTTAATTAGCTAATCCACCTCGCCCGGGGCCAAGGGCCCTGACTCACTGGCTGGCCTTGTCTCTGCTGGAGCCCACATCTATTTGCAGGAAGCATTCAGCGTCCGGAATTGGTATCGATGATGGATTTGCTACCAATGTACCATCCTAATTTACTCAGACCCCCCATCCATTGAACATCTGTCTATCACCCCCTTGTGAGTGTGGGTGGGAACATATAGTGATGAATGAAGTGAGTGAGGAGCTTAGAGGAGAAGCCCTGGTTTCTACACCAGTCATCTTATTTCTAGATGGGTCATCTAGATGTCATGTGAAAGTAATGAATGACCTACTGAATGCTTGACAGAAAGCACAGTAGTGAGCAAAGATGTTTTTGTGGGTTCCACAGCTTGTCCTTGAAGGACTAATTTGATTTGGCAGGTAAAGAGGAAGGCAGGGTGTGTCAGGTGAAAGAAATGGGTGGGATAGTGCAGCATTCTGAAAAACAGCCCCCCTCTACACCCCTCCTCCCCCGCCAGTATTAGGTGTTCCTTCCGGGAACCTGTAAATGCTACCTCCTTGGCAAAAGGGTTTTTGCAGATGTAATTAAGGATCTTCAAATGGGGAGATTATCCTGCATTGTCTGGTGATCCCTAAATGCAAACATAGGGGTCCAGAGAGAGATCATAGACAGAAGAGAAGGCAGTGTGACCACAGAGGCAGATAATGGAGTGATGGGGCCACAAGGCAAGGAATGCTGGCAGCCGTTTGAAGGTGGAAGGAGGCAAAAATAAATCCTCCCCCCCCCCCCCCCCCCCCGAGTCTCCAGTGTTCCTGTCCACTTTGACTTTGATCCAAAGATACAGATTCCAGACTTCTGGCCTTCAGAGTGAGATACATTTTCTGTTGTTTTAAAGCCATCAAATTGTGTTCCAGAAGCCACAGGAAATGAATGTAAATAGGAAAGGGCAAAGCCTGTTTAGGAAAGGGAGTGGTTCAAGGTATCTGCTAGAAGCAAGCCAGCTATTTAGAAAAGTGGTAACTAAGCGGATTAGGGCCAAGTGTCCTGTAATAGTTTTAAGAGTTCCTGCAAGTTTCTGTGTGGCTCTCACCATCCTGACTGGAGTGTCGGCTCTGAAGGAGCACCGGACACCCAGCAGGTGCTAGCGATCTCTCTGCGGAACAGACAGCCAGTACTTGTTGAATGACATGACGAAGGTTGGCAGCTGCCCTACTTGGGTTTGCACTGGGTTTACTGATGAGAAATCAAAGCTGGCCAAGTCTGGTGCTCAGAGACGTTGGATGGATGAACGTCTCATCTTCAGACTGTGATCTCGAATTCATGTCATGCCTCATAGGGTTGTGATGTGTTAGGAAACACTCAGCCAACCCAGAATTAGCGCCACAGGGGGAAGGCCTCTGGGTAGAAAGCAGAGCAAGTCCGGTTGGGGTAGGAGGACAAACCACCTGCCAGAGTGAAATGGCCTTGTTGATAGCAGAGTCAAATTCTCTGCCAGCCCCAGCGAATGTGATTAAAGATGTTGTTTCGGGTTTTTATGACACTCCTATCGATCTGAAGTTGCTTATAGCCATAAAACAACTGTAAATTACAGAAATGAAATAAAAACAGCAGGATACTTAACTCCTGTTCTACTGTGAGGCGGAGAACCTCTCTACACAGCTCCTGCAGCAGCAGGGAGCCGGGGTGTAAGTCTGTATAGGAATCTCATTCCCCTTTCCAACTGGTAGCCAAGGTTAAAAGGCACATTCTCTCCGCACAGATGAAACCTCATCTACATCCTCGCTCAGGAGGTGTCCTTGGTTAACGTGACTCTCTGCTGGGACCACTGTCTAACGGTGTACCTACTACAGTGTTTTGGGATGCTCAGGGACAGCTACCTCCTCTGTCCAAAGCTCTTTTCCTTCCTCCCCTCTCCTCCTGTCCTCTTTCCCCTCCTACCCCCCCCTTTTTTTTCTTTTGTTTTCTCTTTCTTCCTTTTTTTTTGGTTCCTCTTTTGGCCATTCTTTTATTGAAGTAAAGAGTTTTGACACATCACTATCTGTAAAATAGTTAGGAATTTTCAGTAGGTAATCACCAATAATTTCAATGCTATAGACCAAGCCATGTGACCATTGGACTTTCTTTGCTTTCTCCTTGTAGAAATCCGAGAGGCTTTTCGGGTTCTGGACCGAGATGGGAATGGCTTCATCTCCAAGCAGGAGCTGGGAATGGCCATGCGCTCTCTGGGGTACATGCCGAGCGAGGTGGAGCTGGCCATCATCATGCAGCGCCTGGACATGGACGGTGAGACCCAGGCAGCAGCCTCTCCCCAATGAGCCTCCACTCATTAGCGAGGCTTTTGATTTAAAGGGCCCTGCACTTGGAGTCAAAAGACGTGGGTTTATGTCTTGATTAACATTTGAGGAGAAGAAACGTAGACTAGATCACTCCATTCAGCTCTAGGTGTCTGCAGAGCTAGTTCTGGGGTCACGAGAGGGAACAGGGTGAGGGAGGTCTGGCTGGCAAAGCAGTAAGAACAAGGCTGTGTGTGTGTGTGTGTGTGTGTGTGTGTGTGTGTGTGTGTGTGTGTGTTTTAAACAGCATTATTGAGTTAGAATTCACACATCATAAAATTCTCCCATTTAACCTGTGGCACAAATTTGTGCAACCAATGCTGTAATCAATCCCATAACATTTCACCACTCCAAAAAGAAGCTCCGTGCTTCTTAGCCATCACCCCCAACCCCTCAGCCCCCCTCAAGCTTAGGCAACCACTAACCTGCTTTCGATCTCTCTGGGATCGCCTCTTCTGGACATTGCACACTGATGGAGCTGGGCAGCATGTAGGCCTTTGTAACCGGCTTCTTTCGCTTCACATAATGCTCACAAGATCCATCCATGTTGCAGCACATGTCAGTACTTCCTTTGTGGAAGTACTCTTTTATGGCCAAATCATATTTTATTGTGTGGTTATAACAGCTTCTTTTCTCTCTGTTTTACATACTGGGGGGAAAGAGTTTCAATGCATTAGGTAATCTTTAAGTCCCCCCGCCCCCCACCCCCCACCCCGCCACACACACAGACAAATACACACTCTAAAACCCTACACATTTATCCCAAACTAGTGTGACCCTCCTGACATTTATATCCTGCCTGGGCTAAACGTCCAAGGAGGAGCCTTCTTATTTATTTATTTCTTGTTAATACATATACTCACCACCTCTGAAAAGCAGCTTGATTCCAAGGCTAAGGGGTGCATAGTGGTGGACTGTTGGGACTCTTGGTAGAACATGAAGGATAGACCAAGTGAAAGAAAGCAGAGAAAGGGCCCAAGAAGTCTTTCTGAACCAAGGCCGTTGTAGGGAGATGTTTGCTTGGGCTGCAGGCTGATTGGAAGAACGGGGCTCTCTGCTAGTTTCCTGTGGAACCTGGGAGATTGACAGTTGGGTGACCATATGGTGAGTGAACCACAGCACCGGCCTCCAGCTGCAACGGTGGACATTCCTTTTCCAGTTCAGGGAGATATGCTCTATCAGGATGTTCAGTTGTGTGAGCAGACCATGCTTTGTCCTTGTAGCTTTGATGGGTTGTGAATTGTCTTGTCTTTGCTGGCTTGACTGTACCTTCCTTGAATGTTAGAAGTATTTCTGAAAAGCGCAAGCAAAGCACATATTGTATAGCAAAACCACTTTCCCATTGACCCCCATCATTATTTCAGAGATAATTTCCAGAAAAAAGTTTTCTCTTTAAAATAATAAATATTTTAATCTATACATCTGTATATGGAACTAAGGTTATTTTATATGTTTTTAAAAATATCCTATATAATAAAAGGGTAATATGCAAATCGACCGAACAGCAGAATGACCAGTTGCTATGATGTACATTGACCACCGGGGGGCAGACGCTCAATGCAGGAGCTGTCCCCTGGTGGTCAGTGTGCCCCCACAAGGGGAGCACTGCTCAGCCAGAAGCCCTGAGCTGGGCTCACAGCTGGCCAACACAGTGGCCATGGCAGCAATGCTAAGGATGTCACAGGCCAGGCTGAGGGGACCCTCTCCCCCCTCCACGAGTGAGCAAATGTTGTGCACCAGACCTTTAATTGTTGTTGACAGTATTACAGATGTCCCCCATTTCCCCCCCCCCACACACACACACCAGTTTTTATCCCATCCATCCCCCACAGGCCTTTACCACACTACTGTCCATGGGCTATGAATATCCTATATATAATAAAAGCCAAATATGCTAAGTGGATGGTCATCCATTCAACCAATCAAAGCATAATATGCTAATGATATACTAAGGCTGCTCAACCGTTTGCTATGACATGCACTAACCACCAGGGGGTAGCTGCTTGGACTGGTATGTTAGCTTATTGTTGGGGTCTGGCCGATTGGGACTGAGTAAGATGGGAAGGACATGCCCTGGAGCCCTCCCATGATCCCTCCCTGGCTGGCTAACCTCCCTCATTCCTCCTTGGCCCCGATTGTGCCCCTGTGGGGGTCCCGATTGTGCCCCTGTGGGGGTCCCGCAGCCTGGCCTGTGCCCTCTTGCAATTCAGGATTCCTCAGGGGATGTTGGAGAGCCGGTTTCAGCCTGAACCTGCAAGTCAGGCTAGGGGGACTCCACTGGTGCACGTATTTGTGCACCGGGCTTCTAGTAAGTATATAAGTTCTTTGAAGTTTTGTGCTTTGATTCTCTCAACAACTAGTATAATAAAACCTAGTTAAGTGGACTAAAAACAAATGGAATTAGCAACTTTAATAAAAAACAAGCTGGAGCTATTGTTGGAGAGTAACTTTTAGGAGATTGACGGGTCTTCATCAAAGTCAATCCTTGTTCTTTGATATTCACTCAGTGTTCCCCCTGTGGGGAATTTTTACATTTCCCAAATCTTCCTGATTCCCTGAGGCCTTGGAGTCCTGAGGGATCTCGTGAGATGGTTATTCAAGGGGCTCATCAGGATTCAGGCAAATGCTCCGTATGGGATGCAATTTAAGAGATTTCATATTTCACCAGGTTGGGGTTTGTACTCAGCCATCAATGCCCAAAGGCAGAATTTATAAGCAAATCTTGCAGAGAATTTCTTTTCGTTCCTTTAACAAAAGCCCAAGTCATTTGCTATTTCACGGTGACCATATCAGGTAAAATCACATTTATTTACTTTTGAAGCACAGCTTCCTCAAAGTTCTGTTGCCTACAAAAGATTTAATACAGAACATCTGAAAAATGGTGCTGCAGTGTAGGCAGAGGAATTGCCAACACAATTTATTAAATGCCTCTGAGTGTAAAGAGCTAAGTGAAAAACGCCCAGCCCAAGGTTGAAATGTGGGTCTTTACATGGTTAGTAATGATGCTGGTAAGTGAAATTTCTGGGGTACCAGGTTCTGAATGGTGCTTTTCCATGTCTTTCTCTTAAAGGGGTCTTTTGAGCCATTCTATGTTTTTAAAAGTCAGGTTCTAATTATATCCTTCCTTCCTAGCTTCTGTAACTGAGAATTCTCCACAGAGACTTGGCCCTACCTAATTAAACTTCTCTTTGGCGCGAACCTTGTGGAATGGTAGAGATTTTTAGGGGGATGGTGCCAGAAAAAAAGGAGTGCTTGGGCCAGAACTGAGGACTCTGGGCTGTAAGATGTCTGTGCCTCCCGGCCCACAGGCCCTGACTCCTGGTCCTCAGGGGCTTCAGAAGAGGTGGCTGTCTCCATCCATCCCAGCCGGCTACCGTCAGTCAGGAGCAGGTCTGGCCCACACACCAGTCTTTTCTTTCTGGGGTCCCTGGTTTTCCCGACAGTGAGGTCATACCTTCGGCGCAAAGCCCAGCTAGAATTAGCCTGAGAGCGTGTGTGCAGCCTGAGTCAACACATGAGGCTTTCATTAGGTGGCTCGTTGGGAGTGGGTGCCTCGCTGGCGATGCCTGGAACAGTAGCCTCCCTGGATCAGAGAGCGCGGCAGGATTTCCTGGACACAGAGCCTGCAGGGACCCCACCGGCCCAGTCTGTGTGCAGAGCTGGTTTTCTAAAGAACAGAATGGAAGTCAGGCAGTAGGGGCTGGGATTGCTCTCTAGGCCCGTGGCCAGTTTACCTTTAAGGCTGGGACTGTGTGTGTGTGTGTGTGTGTGTGTGTGTGTGTGTGTGTGTGTGTGTGTGTGTGCGCGCACACACACACACACACACGCAATGTATGGGCTGAAATACTCAGTTAAATACTAAGAAGAAAACCAAATGTTTTGCCCAGGCTTCCTCTTTGGCCGATCAAGCTTTCTTGGAACTTGACCTACATTCTGTACTTCCTGGTTATCACTGTCCCATCCCTCTTTTCATCAGCCTCCACAGCCAGGCGACTGTCCTGAAGCCAGTCAGGGACAGCATTCACACTTCCCGGATGATCTACCTCCCCTCTCCCCCACCCCAGGATCCTCTCCAGTGCATCATGGCACCAGTTATGCTCCATCCTGGGAAGGATTGATAAAATATCCTCCCAGAAAGTATCTCCGAAGCTTAAGTCTTTTACCAAGGTGGGTTGGGAAAGTGACTCTGGGCCCTACGCCACTCCAGCTGCTCCCTCAGCTCTGTGGTCCCCAGCTCCCGGGCCCTCCTAACCTGCTGTATCATTCTCTGGGGGATACAGAGTTGGTGTCTTCAAACCCAAGGGGTATTTTTGACTTGTTTTCCACAACCACACCACAGTGGCCATCTGCAACGAATCCAGCTAGCTTCCCTGACACAGTCAGACCAGGAGATGTTCACAGCAGTCCGTGGCCCTTCATTGTCCTGCTGTTTCCTAACAATTCTCTCTTCTTCCTAAAGAACGAAAGTTTCTCCCTCTTTGAAACAAACTTAGACCTTGCCCTCTTCCTCCTTTATTCCCTTCTCCTCCATGATGCAGAATCTCATGAAATTCCAACAAATTTGGGGTTTTTGAAAATAATTCTTGTCTCTGAACAGGTTTGCAGTGTTTTGTTTGTTTTTGTAGATCCACCATGGCTTGGGTAGTGGATTTGCTTCAGTTTAGCTCAGTTAAAAAAGGATTTATCTGGTGTCCATTATGTGTGGAACTGGCTTATTTTTATGGTTGGAAAGATTCACTTTTGGTTCATTTTGAGGCAAAACTGAGCTGCAAAGGACAAAATGGTGGCCGGAGTCCCGTGGGAGAGTTAGCAGTGGCATCGCTGTTAGCCTGCGTATCCACATCTTCCCTCGCTCACTACCCATCCACGGCAAGTTTTAGTCCTTTGCTGATTATTCCTATGATTCTGACCTATTTTCATTTGCGATCTCCTGGAAGAGGGAATAGTATG